ATGCTGATAGTGTTTGTCAGGATGCTCTGCATGGCAAGACAATTAAGCTGAAACACAAGGCTGACTTAACGAAGCTCGGCAGGAAAACATTTTCAAACACAGTTCTGGCCATAGAGATAGAAGGAGATGAGGTCCACTCATGCCAGGAGAAACCACATGGCTCCATTCTTGCATTGTTGTGGTGTCTGTTCATGCACTGGTGGCAGTGCAGAAAGAAAATATCCACACTAATAATCTTTAGTGAATTTAGCTTAATGTGGCTACAGGTTCTTATGGTGGCATTATCAACTTGAAGAAAAGCTAACCTTTAAGAGCATATATGTTTGTAACGATAGACTAAATATTATAATTAGCTAATGTGAGTAAAAGGTCTACGCCATGATCATCACTTACAGTGTGTTAGCTGAACATCACTGTCTTCCTTGTTGACTCATATTGGCCTATTAGGAAAGACAGTGTCAACGGTTTTGCTGTCTCATTCAATTTTGTGGCTTATGGCTTCACATTGGTATTATGTATCATGTTACTTATCAGTTTTCTTCTCTCATGCCTAAACCGACTTTTCTTCCTGTTAAAGGGAGTTTTTCCTTTCCACTATTGCCAAGTGTTTGCTAACAGGGGTTCCTCTGATTATTGGGGTTTTCTCTGTATTATTGTAGGACCGATACCTTACAATATCACGTGCCTTGAAGTGATTGTTATTGTGATCTGACACTATAAAAATTAGAATTGAATTGAATGACGTCAAAGTGGCTACCTCCATCGTTTATGTACTGTTTATGGGTGTGTCTGTACTTAATATTTCACAGGTCTTTACAAAAGAAAATTATAATTTCTATTATTATTAGTTTGCCTAATAAACTATTTTAAACATTTATGTCTCATTTCAATGACTGGTGATTTCCTTATTTACATACCCCAAGACTAAGTAATGTTTATCTGCATTTCTTAATAAATCAACAGCACATATTAAATTAATTTATTACAGTTATCTTTAAAGCTGTACTGAAACTGATTTGAAATTTGATGCTGTTGACTGATACAAAATCAAATCTGCTAATGATAACAGTAAGTCTTTGCATGGTTCAGTAAAAAGAACTCCTCGTAGCGCACATTTGATACTCTTACTGCTGGGACATAATTGTTAGCTCCCCTGGTGAAGAACAATTGTTGCCAGCCACCAGTTTGTGCCGGCCTTAGCTTGTGACAACAACAGGGTCTACATCATCAGCAATGTGCACATCACTAAAGAAAGCTTGTGGTCTGTACAGGCTTTAGAAAATGTAAATACAAAAAAAGAGCTTCATTTAGATATTCAATATGTTCACAGCTCACAAAAAAGAAATGCTGGGTCCATATCATCCTTATCTGAATTTCATACTGGCATCCTTTTTCTTTTCTTGTTATATAATATGTTGCTTTAAATAAAAGGACACTTATTAGTCTGGCTTTGAAGCTGGCCTCACACTTAGAAAAAAGTCTAACATTTTCAGTTTTTGTCTTTTTACTGTCGACCCTTGAAAGCTCGGCAGTTTGTTATTTTTCTGAGGGCAGCGCAGGGTTTGGTGAGGTGCTCTGTAATCATTTTAAGGCCCTGCGACACTGTGACGAATGCGAGGATGAGTCACATTTTAACAGCAACGGGAAAGGCAATTGTGGGACTCTTTGAAATTATCTGCCTGTATTCCCTGGGCTCTGAATTTTTCTCTCAAATTAGATAAACAGTTTGCTTTAATGAAATGAAATATTTTAAAATAATTGCCTTTCACTGTGCATGTACCTGCAACCCTTTGTGGTAAGGTTTTTTTTTTTTTTTTCAAAATCTCATTAGTGTCAACCTGCTGTGTTTATGGTATGAAATGTTTTGGAAGTACAGCTGGTAGAAAAAACACTGATGCATTGTCGTAGCATTAGTCACCACACAGTTTTGGCTTGAGCTATCTCAACCTTTTTACTCGTACCAATGTGAGACTGACATTTTGTCAGTTTAAAAGCATGCAGTCCAAAGTCGGGTTGTTTAAAAGAAACTATATGAAAGAAAGGAAGGGGGAAAAAAGACGCTGGCTTTTTATTAGAAACTTTCTCTTTGTGTCTCCACAGCTGGGTAGGTGTGTCTGCCTCCGTTTGATTGGCAGCAGCAAGCAGCCTGAGTCCCAGCAGGGGAACAGAAGACGAAGTAAACAAAGTTGTTCTGCGAGTCATTGGTAGACGATGGGATTGAAGAGTGAGGACCACACCAGCATCTAAACAGGCTGAAGTGACATTTTCTGGTGTGTTTATATGCTGTTCAGTGAGCTTCAGCTGACAGACTAATTGGCTAGTTTGCCTGCAGACTGACATTAGCCGTGCTGTTTTCCCCAGCAGATTTTCTTTTCTTTTTGGTGGCTTATTCAGGAGGCCGTGGGCAGGACGAAATGTGTTCACGTTTACAAGTGAGCGTGTAATTTTAATATTCGGCTCTAATTGCAAACTCGTTTTCTCCTATTGCAGCGACACCGCGCAGAATGAGTAACAAAGTTAAATGTGCTAGTTTTCAAGTCGCAGTAGGTTGTCAAAGGATGATTTCAGCTTTTTTCACACGGGCATATTTCCCATTAACCTACACTATACTGCCAAAAGTATTCACTTACCCATACAAATCCTTGAATCCAGGTTTTCCAATCACTTCCAAGGTCACAGGTGTCTAAAATCAAGGACCTAGGCATGCAGACTGTTTCTATAAACATGTGAAAGAATGTGTTGTTCTCAGGAGCTCAGTGACTTCCAGCATGATACTGTGATAGGATGCCACCTGTGCAACAAGTCCAGTTGTGAAATTTCCTCACTACTGAATATTCCACTGCCAGCTGTTAGTGGTATTATAACAAAGTGAAAGTGACTGGGAACAACGGTGTAAAGAGCTTCTTGGAATACGTTTTCACGGCTTAGCAGTTGCATTCAAGGCTGTTATAGCTGTAAAGGCTGGGCCGACATCACATCAAACCCTATACATGAAAAGTGGGGTGTCACTCAAAGTCATAAGGCAGTTAAGGCAGACAAGGAAAAGCTTTTCTTGTAACTCTGCTTTCAGCTTCAGCTGTGGCAAGTTGCCATCTTACATAGACCTCAGCCTAACCCAAATTTGTTTATGTGCTTTAGGCAGTGTGTAGGTTTCGTGTGTATCCCTATTATAGCCAACATGGTGCCATTACCTGACATAATGTACTCAGCATCATTTGCTGTTGTACTGGACGTGCCCTTCACTTGCTCCAGTGGTCTAAACAATGGTTGTTGCTTGTTGCTGCTCAGAAAAAAATCACAGGTTTAATAGTGTAGTAGAAATCAGAACAAGATGAAACAGGAAGCAAAGCAGTCGTGGAGATTTTTCCAAAGCTTTGTCAAATATGTCTCGTCTTTTTCAACTTAGCAGTGAACTCTGTCCATACTGTAATTCATACCTTTATGTATCACATCATGGAGAACTTGCAGCGTGCACCATATTACAAGAAGTGTGATGTGCACAACGAGTAAAAACGACACTCAAGCACTTTTTTCAGAAGCTGTGACGCTCTCATGTTTGGGACATGCAATAAGTGATAACTCCGTTTATACTGTGGTTCCAGCAGCAGGTTGTCGAACTGAGTTCAGCAGGCTTTAACTTGGGATGGTTACAGATCCTTAGCCTTTTTCATGTGAAGCTCTTGAGCCACTTTCTGATGCTGTGGAACCCCGGTGACAGAATTTACCCTTATCTGAATTATTGTCTGTTTTGTTTGGCTTCTAACAGTGACACTAGTCTAATCCTTCATTTTCTTAATTGCATTATAGAAGTTTACATCGTTTGAAAATATTACACTGTCAGAGCAATTAACAGGATGCTGTCTCAAATAATGTTGTTGCAAGCTCGGTCTGCCAGACATGATAATAAGAATCATTTTTACTCGTGGCTTCGTGCCCGTGCTCAGAGCGTCTACGAATCCTGGAAGGAACAAAGTTGGCTGCGGCGCAGCCTTAGATTAGTCACAGACCCGGGTACTTCCACTGTCTCCATGTCACCTGAATGAATTATCAGATGTTTCCAGTGTCACACTACTTTGTTAACCTTTCTGCCTGTTCGCTCAACACCCCGCTGCTCTTCGCCAACGTGTACGAGGGAGGAAACACCCTTCAGCTGTTATAAATGAGTCGATGTGCATGTTCGCACATGCCCGCGTGTCTGAGTGATAGAGGGGCGAGAGAGGCCAGATAGGGTGGCCCCTTTAATCGCTTCCCTGCTCCTCCCTCCTTTTTTTGCTCATCTCCACTCGTCTCATTACAGACTGCAGAGGGTGAGAACTGAGGCCTGTATAGACCTTGGCATTAATTATTGAACCCTATCTTCATTTACATCCTCCACAGTTTCTGATAACCTTTACATAAAAGAGCAGAGGCTAACCTGTCAGATATTACCAGTGTGGTGGGTAGTAATAGAACGGTATATGAGAGACACAGAGAAACTCAGTTTGGAGATGCAATTACAAAATCTCTTACTTAATCACATGTAAAATGTTTGTCTATATAACCACACACACGCGCACATTTACTGTATATATGTGTATGTCAAGAAAGATATACAGAGATAGATAATTATACCCCCCTTCCCTTTTTAATTATACTTTAGTTGTTCCTTGTTGTTCCAGTTGAGCTTCAGTGCAAATTAATGCCGTTCTGCTTTAAATGGGTTTTGTTGTGGTGGGGTAAGGCAAATAATTATTAAAGCTGCCATTTGACTCCATGCATTGTCTTTGTCATGTTGGCCCAGTTCTGCTCTGCTTGTTTCCTCCTGCCATGCCCAGTCAATTTGAATCGCTCAGTCGGAGGCCAGCTGATGGAGGCCGCTGAGGTCAGCGTGGCCAAGGCTTTCAGACAACTTGGTGGGGGGGCTCGACTGTGATGCTGAAAATCTCATCGTTATCTCCTTCTCTCCCCTGCCTCTGTCTTTTTGCTTTGTACTCATGTGTGTGTTTGTGTGCTTCCTGCAGGTTTCAAAGGGCAGCATCAAACCCTGACCTCCCAAAGCCTCTGAGCAGGAGAAAGAAGACTCTGCCAAGATGTTCAGCACCAAAAGGTCGGCACAATGTCACTTTTGATCAATTCTTATTTGGTCATAAAAAACCACACACACGCACACAGACACACGCACACACAGGGAAATCTCGGCATTTTAAAATGGTTTCTGCTGATAGTGGCTGACATTTCTGTTCCGCTATGATCCACACATGACTTTGACGTGAAGAAAGGTAATGGTTGATTTCAGGTCAAAAATCACCAAAAAAAAAAATTTTTTTTCTGTTGCAGTCTCTCATCTTGGATACATCTGAGCTCATATTTATATAGTTTGTATTTCCACTTAACAAATCTATGCTAATAGTGTAAACAGCTTCAGCGGGAAATTTAGAAAGCCCAGTTTACAGTAGCCCTCGGTTGTGTGTACATTTTGTATTTTTAATGTGGCGTGTGGTAGTGTACGGTCTGCATAAATCATTTATCGCTCTGGCTTTTTCTTGATGTTGAATGGGAGGTAGAAGTGGTCACCTTGCTAAGCTATTATGTAAAATGGTTTAGGTGTCATGAAGCAGAATGCTTTTGGTTCTTTCTCTTAATGTTTCAATCCCGTGTGTTACGCCTCACAGCTCCGGGTTGGTTTACGTTTCTCTCGTGTTGGGTTGATTACTCACAGCAGCTCATTCAGTCTCCCTCTAAAAGTGCTAATTAATTCCCTTTGAATAATTAATCCCAGGATTTCTAATAGTGCATTTTCAATCGATAAGGTTATAATGTGCAGGCTTGTTTTCAGAGCTTGCAGCTCAATAACCAAGGGAGGTCTTGTGGAGAAATGGCTGCCCCCATGAATGTATTTTTTCAACAGGAAGTGTATCAGTGTATGGCGAAATATCCATGTGGAAAGCCTTTTTCTAGAACAAAAGTCAAAGAATTTAATGAGTGAGATGTTTTAAACACAGGACTATTTCATATCTGTCAAAGGATGTGGGGTCCTTTTGTTCCTAACACATTACACACTCCATATCAGTATAGATATCCAGCAGGATTTTTTTTTTATCCCATTAAGCTCTGGTTTGTTTACAGTTTCCCTCCAAGTGTTCCTTTAATTTTTTTTGAGCAGTGTGTATAACAAGAGTCTTTTTTATCCCATCCATAGTAAAAAAAATAAAAATATCACGTAAAATTAAATAAACTGATACTGAATAAAAATAATCTGAAAAGAAAAAAAGGAAAACTGTTTAATAAAGTTATCTAAGAGTGCTTCAGTTCAGAGAGGTTCATAAAGGTTTAGTTCAGCAGTTCCCAACCACTGGGCCGTTTGGTACCGGCTCGTGAGAGTTGAAGCTCGGGTGTGAAATTTATGGTTTTCAAGTTTTTATCGGGGGTTTTTTTTGGGCGTTTTTATCGTTAACTCGGTTCCCTGGGTCTTTTCCCATTTTTTGGTACCGCTACTGGTTTGATTTTGTTGTATTTATCCGCGACACCTTAAAGGCCAGTCCGTGAAAATATTGTCGGGCATAAACCGGTCAGTGGCGCAAAAAAGGTTGGGGACTGCTGGTTTAGTTCAATAAACTGGTCAGGATTGATAAGCTGTAACAGCTCTGAAAAAGGTTTTCATCTGAGAACTTTTTGACTTGCATACTACACACAGACCCACTGGTCCCATATGGAAATTAATACTAGTGGCAACAAACCCTGTGATTAGAGATTTGGTCATCGTTTTCTTCTGAAGTCTCGACTTGCACTGAAAAAGAAAAGTTGCCAGTGGCCCGGTAAAATATTGATTACTGCAACATTTTGATTGTCACACTTTGAAATGTAAATTACCAACATTTTTTTTTGGACAATGTGTCAGCACGAACGAATGTATTTACAGTGTGAACTTTTTGTTGAGAAGTAAGAAGGGATAGGATAGAGTGTTGGGCGCTGTCACATCCACGTGTCTCCTTACACTGTGTCTGATCATCACGCTGTCATTGAGAGGATGATTAAACCAAACCGGCCCTCCGTCTTTTGGGAGCTGTGTCAGCACAGTAGATGACACACGATATGCTCGGAATAGCTGTAAAAAAAAAGATGCCATCTTTAAATTCAAACACTAGAAAATCTCATTCACTTTTTTGCTGAATACGAAACAAAGCATTTTTCCTCGGCTAAACTGCTGAACGAGATGTAAAGTGGCTCCTGTGTGCCTGTCAGAGATCCCTGAACACTTTTGTGGCTTTACTCGTGTGTGTTTTAATAATGGTTTTCTCCTTTTTTTTTCTTTCACTGAGTCATTTCCAACAGCTGTAATTAAAAAGTTGGCATGCCTGTAAAATGCTTTTATTAAACTCTAATCGCACAGTCATGTTAAAATAGCCGATTACCTTCGATTTTGATGGAGTTAAGAGTGTGCACCAGAGGCAGAGCTGTAAATCCTGAGCACTTGTGATGGTGTCCTTGCTCAGTGCTCCCTTCTCTGTTTCATTGTTGTAGATAAGCTGAGAGTGCAAAATCTCCACAGCTTGATTGTTTGTGTTTACATATGCTCATTAAAATGCAACTGGAGCGCCGTTAATCTGAGTCTTTCATTCTGGATGGGAACGTTTATGAAGCGACGCACCACAGTTATGAATTTGGGTTACTTATTTAAAATCTGCCATGGTACACATGCTTCATGGAGCTCCATAAAGAGAAGAGCTGCACCTCCTTTGACTTTTCATTACATTTTCTTGGTGGAGACGCATGGATATGGCACTCAAACCTCATTTCCTTTTTGGGCAAACTGAACCGGCAGCAAAATCTGTAGCTGTTAGGAACATGTAGCTTACAACAACAACAAAAAAATCTTAATCAGAGTTATTATTGTCTGTGTGTCATTCAGCATATTTCTGTATCTAAGTTTAATGAATCCGGCTAGCTAGTTAACTTGTATGGAAATTGCCTTATCGGTTTCCTGCTTGCAGCTTTGATCCATTGATTGCTGATTGGTTTACCATCAATATCTGGGACACCACATCTGTGTGAATATCTGAACAAATCAGAGAGATGCATGGCTAGAGCTTGCATTACGTCTAACAAACAGCCAGTCTGCTTCCTGATTTAGTTCAGAAGGGCAAGTGAGGGATCACCAAACTGAAACAAATCCAGTTGGATTTGTTTCAGTTTACACACATCCAAAGAATGTGTATATAAGTCAGCTGTACATCACTTTGCCAATTGGTAGTTGACTGATTGTCCAATTGGTGCTTAAAAGCAGTGTCAGTAAATATGTTTTATGGGCGGAAGGCACAATGGCCATGTACTAGTAGTGTATTTGTAATTGTTTAACGCAAACAAAAGCGTCCTTTGCCTGGATTTGTCCGGTTTAAAACAAAACAATGCAATTCTGTATTACTAATCCGCAGCATCCCTCACATGATTACTTTCGTCAGAAATGGTGTGTGCAGCCTCGGGGCATAGCTGCATGCACTGCGCATACAATATATTGGCATTCATCAGTTGTTGTACAGACTATGGCCAGTTGGAAAGTTTTGCATATCAATGAATCCTTTTTTAAAAAAAAGAAAGAGAAAAAAAAGTGAATACACATCAGTTTTCTGTTATGATCATTTCAGAGCTTCAGAATAAGTACAACCTTTTTTGTAGCAACCTTTGCACAGAAGTCTTATGTTTCGTACTTTGTCTATTTTTGTCTTTTCTCCAAGCAAAAAAGGTTTCATGCATGACTCCTTCCTGCAGTTAGTAGAACCAGTGTAGGTGGAAAAGGGCTTTTGCTACCATGTTTCTGGCTTTTTTTGAATTATTTATTTTAAGCTGCCTCATCTTTGTAACTTTTCACATCTAAATGTCATCAGTAGGGATGCACACACTCGAAAGGTAACAATAAAATTAGGCTTCTGCTCTCACACTTGCCTGCATATTAATAACAAACATTTATTTATGTGAATCATGTGAATCTGTTTGCAGTACATTCTCTTAAAAACAGTAGAGCCTTAACTTGATCCCAGGATTTCCAGTCGGAGTCACTTAGTATTATTATCCCGGGCTGTGGAGGTGTTGACTGTCACAAAGTCCGCCCTTGGTTGTCAGTCATGTCAGGTCATCATTTCAAGCTGCCCTCCAGTTTTTTTGTTTTGCTTTTTTTTCAGAAACTGCCGGGATGGGAACAGGAAGTAAGTGTCAGTGCTGGCGGTAGCTCACACAGAGATCTCGGAGAGACAACATGACACAACCGGACCTCTAATTGCTTTCAGTGGGAGCTGCAATGAAATTACCCCAGTATGAGTTGGACTGGTTAAAGGCAAAATGGCTAACCTGAAGAGATATTTGCCAAATCTGTCCACACATTTCCCAGAAGTTAAAGAATGAATACAGCGCTGTGGTTCGGTCGTGAAGTGTGCCAAATATACTGTGTGGGACGTCACGTTACGGTGACACATCGTGGAAAGATGCTTGCCTGGGTGGCACTGTCACTCGGTGACTCATGACAAACAATTCCAAACAATAAAGAAAGTAAACACCTTTATTATTACCTGCCACACCACACACTCTCTCATTGTATGCACAGTTTGCCCTTGACAAACTTTTGTACAGTGATGACAGAACTGAACCTCTATCCTCATTCAAGTATATATATAAAGCATGCCTCATTCATGCCTCGTCATGTTAGTTAAGCTTGTAATGACTTGCTGGCAATGATATACTTAACCAGATGTCTCAGCTGACATTGACCCCCTGATGAATCTTGACCTTTATAAGGAGAAATTGTCGGCTGACTGTAGGTAGCTCCGAACTTTTGATCGACATAAAAGGAGCTTGCACTCGATTACTTAAGTATGCAGGGGAAGAGAATGGCGAGGGAAGTAGAGCGCATGCAGGGATGTGTTAACCCCCCATAAAGGCCTGCTGATCCAATCATGATTTACAGGCTGCCATCCTGATGCTGCACACTGACTCTCCTTGGACTGACCTTGAAAAATGTTGCAACAGTGTGTCTGTGAGTCACTCATTCAGAGGCATCATCCATGTTTTGCTTTGAGGACTCGGTAATGTAATTTACATCAGGTTGGACTGTACGTG